TTGAAATTGTTATGAAATCCCCCAGACATAAAAAGCACAAATAATAAAACATTTGTATTGGCCATCTAGCGTAAAATGTAAAAGCTGTTCATTGAAGTCCCGAGGTCTGTCTTCCCAGTTGTATACCCTCCATGTGGTCATGATACTCATTGGCTGCATTTTTCCCTTCTGTTATTTTCACCTTTGCTACAAAATTTTTTCACTGTTATCATATGTAGCATTGTTTTTCATGTTTTAAACCACATATTAAAATTATTTTTACATATCTTCTTCTGTAACCTGTTATTTAGTGTTTTTTTTTTTTTTTCTGAGAATCATTTCTGTTGCCCTGTGTGGTCTGTTTGGTAATACTTATAAGTAGATTTCTTGGATTATAATATATTTAACTTGATTGATTGATTTTGAAACATCTTGACACTTCTCTTGCCTGATTCTCATCATTCTTCATAGGCTAGACATTCTCTGTCCTTTTGAAGTTTATTTAACTATGTAAATTTTATTTTAATTAATTAATTAATTAATTTTGTCCTTTTGAAACAGGGCTGCAGTATGCAGTTCAGGTTGACTTGAGCTCAGTTTGTAGCCCAGGCTGGTCTCAAACTCAGAGCAATCCTCCTGCCTCAGCCTCCAAGTGCTGGGATTACAGGTGTGCGCCACTATACCTGGCTCAAGTTAGGCATTCTTAATTGCAGCTTTTTTCATCATCCTTTGCCACACTACATTATGGTGTTCCAGGGCATGGACCTTTGCTCTTCATCTCCATGCTGAGCAGCTCAATTTTTAGTTCTGCGGTTTTAAGTATCATTTATACAATGATAACTTCTCAGCTTCTATCTCTAGCCTGCCCTCCCTCACTCCTGAACTCCAAGTTGTGTTGTCTCGGCCTCAGAAAGTGATCTCAGGGACGGCCAAATAGCTCAGCAGATTAAAGTGCCTGCAAGCAGGCGCAGGGCCCAGGGGTTCAATCCCCAGGCCTGCCATGTCAGCCTCGCCCCCTGGGTGTGCTGAGCTGGCAATTGAGACAGGGCGTGTTGACACGCGCCTGTAATCCCAGCTCTTGGGAGGCTGTAAACAGGAGAATCACTATGAGTTTGATCTAGTAGTGAGACCCTGAACACCCAGACCCTTCCCTAAAGTATAAAAAAAAAAGCAATTTCAGATCTAACGTAGACGTCTTGGTGTCTTGTTCTTCCTTTTTTTCTTCCCATTGCACTACTGAAGGCTTCTCATTCTTCAGCTTTTAACTGTGTCACTCCACAGAAAAGTGCTGTCTTTCTATCTCTGCTTCCCCAGCTCATTTTCTATTATATCATCATGTTTTGTTTTCTGCATAGCAGCTGTCACATTTTTAATCGTGTGTGTGTTTGCTTTGTTTATCTTTTTGTCTCCCTTTCTTAGAATAGTGACCAGTACATAGGAAGAAGACAGTTAACTATGTAAACTTATTATCCTCCTCCAAATCTGTGGATTCAGGTTCCCATCTAGTACTCTTGTAGCCTTGATTTTTTTCCTTAGTGCTAATCCCTGTGCTGCACTGTCTCTTGGATTCATTCAGATGCCCTTCAGTTGGCCTCAGTCTGAACACATTGACCAAATCGGCTTCTTTCTAATGCTGTGTTGTCTTAGTCCATTTTCTATTCCTGTCACAAAATACTTGAGGCTGGTTGACTTGCAAGGAGAGGTTAATGTGACTCATAGTTCCGGAGGCAGGGGAATACATGATTCTCGCGAACATGCAACTTTTGGTGAGGACTTTGTGCGCTGTCATGGTGTGGTAGGAAGGGGGAAGGGGCAGCTAGTATTCATATATGCACACGCTCGTGAGAGCCTGGGGCTTGGTGCCAGCCTTGTCTTATTACATCAGCTGCTGTGGAGGAAGCTAACCGACTCTAAAGGGAACTGAGTGGATCTCTCCATGAGGGAAGAGCCCTCATGACTTCACCCCCCTCACGAAGGCCTCACCATCTCTGAGTTGTTACATTGACAATTAAATCTCAACATGAGTTTTGATGGGGAGAGACCATGTCCAAACCATAGCACTCTTCTCTTAAGTCCCCCGCCCCCATAACTAGCATTCCCATTTTCTCATTTATTTATGTCCCTCTGGTCCTGATTCCAGTTTGTGTTTACTTGTTTTTGGCTTCTCAGTAGTTCTTGTGTCTTCCCCCTCACTCCAGCCATCGTCCTGCTGTGAACCTTCACTGTGTTCCATGGCTACTTCAGAAGCTCTTGTCTTTTTGGTTCTGTGACCTTCCATACCATCTGCATGTTCTTAACTCCTCTGCCGCCTGACCTCTGTCTACGCTCCATTTTGGTTCTAGGCTTCCATGGTAATACTTCGGTTTTCATCTTATCGGATAGACCTGGCACTCACACTGTCATTTTCTGGTCCTTTGTTCTCTTCCACAATATTATAGAGTCCTTCTAGTTAGTATCCTACAATGAGATGTGCTACAGAAAGTCCTTAACGTTTTTCTTTTCTTCCCAGCCTCTAATGTTGATCTGGCGTGCTATGTGCCCGGGGAGGATTGCAGGATACTGTGTGTCC